ATAACTGTTTGATGGCTTGAGCACAAACGGGCTAAGGCGAACTGGCGGCGTTGCCACTTGTTAAACGGAATTTATCGATAGGCAGCACAGAGTCGATCGGTGATCGCGAGTAATTTTATTAATCGTAACAATGGTGCGCGCAAATTTAAATTTATTATGCACCATATTGGTAAAATTCAAATTTTATTCAACAACAATTAAATGAATATGGACATTAAATAGGCTTAGAGATTACGTAAATAGTTTCATCTTCTTTAAATTTCCATACGAATCATGTTAATTACACAGGCATAGTTACAATATTCAATAAGTACATTGGTAATTGTTTTCGTTGCATCCCTCATCATTTATATAAATATAAAGTAAACGAGAAGTAAAAGGCCGTTGATACAAATGACTTTGGATTAGATTAGGCGCACTTAATTATTACACAACACATACATACATGGAATACAAAATGGTGTTTAGTATAATTAAAAATTCTGTTCACATTTCGGTTTGGTTTATTACAACATTATTCTGTAAATATTAATGTTCATGTTCAGTTAAATCGTAAGGTTAATAATGTATGTATGCACGTTATATATATATATATATATATTTATATATATCAATCTGTTAAGTACTAACTGACTTGCCACACTTCTTTTGCATTTGTTAACATAAATATATATAGATATATCTATATCTCTATATCTATATCATTATAATATTAATGTACGCACTAACGCCGCACTAACTATAAATATTCATTATTAATTATCTAGCAATTTCATTTAGTTACATATACAAAACACAGTAAATTTTCATTCTATTGCATTTAGATGCATAATTGGAGTGACATGAAGCAATGAAAACAAATTCTATACTTATAAATTGTCGCGCAATGAACAATATGAATGTTGATTGTGTATATTAAACTAGTTAGGTGTATATAACTCTATATATATATGTCTGTATATATATATATATATATGTGTGTATATAGTAGGTATTACGTTATGCGGTCACAAAGCGCAACTCTTTAACTAACATTATTTACTTTAGCTATTACAAGTACATTTTCTTTATCAGCTATTATTGTTGTTATTGTTTTGTTTTGCCAAATAACAGACACACACATATATCCTTTATCCTGTTCAGTACGAAAGTGCTGACGGTGAGCGCGAACCAACTGTGAAATCCTTGTACACCGAAAACACGGATATCTGCGAATCAAAGATAGAGCAAAAGCAATATTAGAAATAGTTCAAAAACTACGTATATAGTATAATTTGTATATTGGTCAGTTTAATTGGCAACTTGCGTCACAGTCAAGAACTGCATAATGATGTGGGCAAATTGCCAATAACCAAATTAAACTTGGCATATACGATTGGCAGCCCAAATTGGAACTGATCTAGATATGTGTTCCAATTAAAGCAAACAGCAAATGGCTTATCAGTTCAAGTACGTCCATTCGTTTACCTTGTCTTTCAGCTGCTGACACAGTTTCTGGCCATTCATCAGAAGCAGGAGCACATCGTTGAGCCATTGTACGCCGATTTCCGCTTGACGCGAGTCGAACTGCATTGTGCCCTGGTTGTTTAACAGCTGATAGACGGCAATGATGAGCTTGTGGCTTTGCAGATAAAAACTAACGGCCAAATCCTCGGGCAGGTTAGGCACAAGTGATTTCATATTGCGTCCCTTGATTAGCTCCTCAATTGGCTTCTTCTTCGGCACCAGCAGGCTATTGCGTCCACGCTGCAGCGCATCCAGAATGTTGCCTATCACATGGAGCACTTCATCGGAGGTTCTGCATAATCAGCGCGATTTATAAATAAACACATAGTCACATAAGCACAACTGCGAATAACAATAAACAGACTCACTTGAAGTGATAAGAGTCATCAACATCGTCAATGTGATTGATTGCCGTTTGTAGATGATTGGCGGCATCCTGAACTTGCTGCAGTTTCCACGGCGAGTCGTGCGTTATTGAGGTACGTTGCGTTTGGCTGGGCGCCTTGCACAGCTTAAAGCTAATATCCTGTGTGTGATAAGAGCCAAACATTTTGGAATTTTTCCAATTTTTCTGCATGATTACCAATGCTTACCGCCTGTGTTATCGCATCGCCCGTTAGGGTAAGCACCGCCTTCAGCTGATCGGGCGAAACGCTGAGTATAAACTTTTCAGTCTTCTTGCCCTCGTTATCGTACAGCGGCACGGGAAACCTATGGGCGCATTCCTGCAGGATGATGCCAACGGGGCGAGGGAGGGGAGGGGTATTGAGTAATTGAAACGCAAATAAGGACATTCTCTGCTTACCACAAGAATAGTTCGCAGTTGCTTTAATATCGCATGTACTTCCTGTCTCAGCACCCACTCGAATTCAATTTGCTGCAAGAATGTATTTATGTGAGTTTGCATGTGTGTGTGTGTGTGTATGAGGGGGCGTGCGTGTAATGCGGGTTTTTTGCGTGAGTGGGTGTGAGTGTGTGCGTTTTGCGATAGCGCCAGCGCCGTCGCCGTCGTTACCCCAAAAAGGAAAACACAAAGAACAACGGCACGTTTCATGTACAAATCAATAATATTGGCGAGTTCGCGCGAGATTTTTTTTTTGGGTGAGATAGAAAAAAACACAGACAATCAATAAACAATTAGCTATAACACACACACACACAGACACACACACACGCAGACATTGACACACACGCACACATTTCGCACGTTTGATTAATTGCAATGCATTTTGGGCGATTGGGCCGCTGTCATGGATTTTTAATTACGCACACATACCAAATTTAGAGCCTCCTCTCGCTCGGTGTCAACGACAAGCATTTTCATAGTGCTTTTGGCCTTCTTGCGCGCTGTTATGTATCTCCGTTTGGTTTTGTCAGCTAATGCTGCAGCACCCCCGTTAGTAGCAGCGACGCCAGCAAATTGCAATGAAAGCGCTGTAATGTTATCGGATATGTTGTGTTGTGTATATATATATATATATATATATATATACATATAGTATTTAACAACTGCTGCTGTTCATGAATGAACAAACAAAAACGAACGCATCTTTTTGAGCGATACACGATAGGTTTGTGTCATCGTGTGTCATCTCTAGCCGAGCTCACATTTGAATTTATTGTTTGTTTTTGTTTGTAATTTAACACATGCATAGTCTTCTTTATTTATAAGCAAAATGATTTAAGCGGCTTGTTAAATTATGGTTAATAACGTAAATTTAGCTAGTTTTAATAAACATTTGCACGATTGCAGCCCTGGCTTCTTGAAATTTCTATACAATGCTTGCTATCGATTAATCGCAGGCCTACGATAGTGCAAATGCGTCGTCATGCGAATGCTCAAATTGCGCGCGTAAAATTCAAACCGTCGCTTTAGTGCTGATAGTACTTACGTTTGCGTAGAGGCGGGGGTGTGGTCAGCACAGCCGTCTCCGGCACCGAGTTGAGCACATGGTGCTGAAATTGGCCGCTGCGCTGTCGATGAAGCGGCTGGAATGACCAATTTGTTGTCGGGCTGCAAATTAATAAAAGCATACAAACAGCACATTGTTATTTTTTTAACCAATTTTCGATATGATTGCACAAATAACAACAAACACGACAAAATTGCGTTTGCCTTATCATAGATTTGTATTTGATTTCGATTTGATTCAATGTGAAGTGCTAATTGCCATAATGCTTGTGTCGTTGTTGTTATTGTTATTGTTATTGTTATTGCTGTTATTCCGCCGAATGACTCATCGGAGCAGCTGTTGACGATAGCGCCCGGGCTTGGGTTTTTGGTTGCAAGTGAATCTACCCGTTTCGCTTGAACTGCATGGAAATCGGGGTTCCCACAGCGCGCGTGTCAGCACTTTGCTGGCATTGGCTTTTCGGCTAAAATTACAAAAGTGCTTATCAAGCAATGCTGAGGCGCACACACTCGCACACACACAATCAGACACAACACGCGCATAACTTTTTTTTTTTTTTTTAAATCCAAACAGTTTCGTTTTTTTTTTTTTATCGTGCTACTTTTTGTTTTTCCATTTGATAAGCCAATGTCAAGCGAAAATGAAATATCAGAATCTATTTAAGTATTTATGCGGCCATAAATTTTATGGACACGAAAAGTCGCGGCGGCGGCGTCTGCTTTAACACATTCTTAAGCTACCATAATGCCAAAACAAACACGGCTTTTATTGTTATGCCATATATGCATGTGCATGTATGTATGCATGTACATGTATGCATGTGTATGCATGTGTATGTGTGTACAAATAACGGTTCCCGCAAAGCTGTTTGCATTTACCTCTGCGGCATTTTAGTTAATATTTGACTATTATTATTATTATAATTAATATTATTATCAATTGTAAACACTTCACGACTATCACGAGACACGAGCGTTTTTATTTTTGAAATATGCAAAATTTGTCAGTGTGAGGGGGCGGCGTTGGCACATCTGCTGCGATCGGGCGGGCGTACGTAGCTCAACACTGGCAGCTAACGGCAAGCGCACACAAAAGCCACAGCCAAGCAACTGAACCGACTGCGCGGCGGTGGCCCCAAGAAAAACGCCGCCAAGTCGAGCGGGCCACAGCGCGAATTGGTCAATGGCAGGCAGCAGGCAGCAGGCAGCAGGCAGCGGCAGCGGCAGCGGCAGCGACGTCAGCGTCGAGGCCAACGTCAGCGTCGAGCGTTGAGCGCGCCAAGCGCTTTGTATGTAATGTTAGCGTAGTTAAAAACTTGACGAGCTTTTTTTGTTTTTTTTTTTTTTTTTGTTCGTTTTGTTGTATTTTATTTTCGTCAGCTTTCTTCAGGTGCGCGCTCTTCACTGATAGCCGCCAGTTTATCAGCCAACTGTGCGGTTGGCATTGACAGCATAGCATAACCATAAAAATAAAAACTTTACAAAATTGTATTTGTTTTGGTTTTTTTTTTTTTTGTTTTTTTTTTTTTACTTTTTGCATACACAGCTTTTTGTATTTATTTTGGTTTTGTTTTTGTTGTTGTTTTTTTTTTTTTTTTTGGTATAAAAAAGTAGTACAAAAGTTTAATGCTATTAATTTGTGGCTTGTTTTCAATTGAAATACGTGGATTTGTTTACGAAATGAAACAAATGTACAAATATAAACAAATAAACGTGTGCCCAACAGGTGGGTGCAAGTGTGTGTAAGTGTGGTGGTAGTGTCTGTGTGTGTCTGTGTGTGTCAGTGTGTATCTGTGTGTGTGCGGCTCTTGGGTCTGGGTTTATTTACTCGCCGGTCATCATCTCCATGAATTCTGTAAATTAAACAAAATGACAGACATTAAACCGACAGCCAGAAACAGAATCGACTTTATAAATAAAAATATATTCATTTGTAAAATGTATGCCACGAAAACAAAATATATGGAAATTCGTAATTCCACACAACTATTTTGTTTTTGTTTTTTTTTCATATATAATTTATGTGTCGCGCGCCTAAAAATAGCCTCGATATGCTCCAAAACGATCAGAGGCGAGCTGTCATAATCGAGAACTCAAGATCAACAGAACCGCGTTGTCATCCAAGCATCTAGCTGATGTTTACAAAAAAAAAAAAAAAAAAAACATACTGTGGGTGTAAATGGGCTGTGTGTGTGTGTGTGTGTGTGTGTGTGGGTGTGGGTGTGTGTGTGTGTTTACGTGGGCGCTTTTCGCAAGCGACTAGAAACGATTCCAAAAGCTAAATGCATACATATGTATCTATAGCATATTTTTTGTACTCACCATCGAAATCAACTGTACCGGAGCCATCGCTATCGATTTCCTCGATCATGATGTCCAATTCCTGTTCGGTCAGCTGATCGTCGAGCTCCTTGAGGATCTCCTTCAGACAGGTGGTGGGAATGAAGCCGTTGCCCTGTTTATCATACAAGCGGAACGCCTCGCGCAGCTCCTTCTGCATGGCCTCGGCATCCTCCTCCACAATGAACTTGGCAGCCAGCTGCACGAACTCACCGAATTCCAAGCGACCAGACTCTATAATCAAAATCAAATATAGTATGCATATATTTTTAGTAAATTGTCAAGTAGCTGGAAGTGTTCAAATAATTCCGTATAATATACGGCAAATTGTTCATAAATTTATGACACTTTCTGTATGAAATATGACCACGAAATTGAAGCAGCTTGTTTAAGGCCCATATATATAGTACTATAGCTGATAATGAATGGGGCGCTATTATATATAATAATATTATGAATTGTTTCCAGCATAAATTGGTGTACTTACTGTCTTCGTCAACCTCCTCGATCAGTTCCTCCAAGATCTTCTTGTCGAAGGGCTGACCTAAATGCGATCAATTTATGATTACAGGGTATTCTAGGGTATGCTGACTGAAAGTATCTGATCTTACCCATCAAACGGAGAATATCGGCAACCATTTCGGTGGGTATGCTGCCAGTCTTTTGATGATCGAAGCTGTTGAACGCCTTCTGGAGCACGGCAATTTGCTCAGGTGTCAGATCCTCATCCTGTTTGAAAAAAACTTTTTAATCCCTGGGCATATATTAACGTAACGTTCTATTGAGACTTACCACGATGTTCACGTTGCTCATGTTGCTGCTGTTTGTATAAATTAATTGATCTGAAACTGAGAGATTTTACGAACCGATCACCTCGGAGTATTCGTGGCTACTACAAAGAAATGCGGCTGCGTTTTCCAAAATATAGCGCAAAATTATTCAGATCGACTGTCTCTGAACTTGCCACAGGCACACACACACACGCACACGCACACACATGAGCACGAAGAGACGAACCCGAGACGTTCATTTCGGAATATGTAGCACATTTCCACGCCGATGCCTGATTTTTATTGTTTTTTAGAAAGAACTGTAAATGCGCGATCAAAAACAAAATTAAAACGATCGTCCACGTCCACGTTCACGTTCAAGACGTACGCCGGGCAGAATGTGAGCCGTATAGTGGTTTTCCACAGACACGCCATCAGCCAGCAATCACAGCGAAACCATCAGCAGAAGGAGCACGGAGCAGGGGGCAGGGAGAGGGAGGCATTGCCTATGGAAGCTGCATGAATCGCCAGCTATAATGCGATGCGTTGCGCTCTTTGCATATACACCAAAATATATACACATTACATATACATACTATATAGATATATATATATATATATATATATATACAGACAGATGCTTATATAGACAGCAGTTGCACGACAAGAACACACGAGATATGGAGAAATGCCCCAATGAAGCATGCGCTAGACAACGCATAGAGAACCGCACGCTACAATTAAATTTAGGAGCATATTGTTTCTCTGTTGAACTTGGCAGCTCTGAATTCAAACGGCATTCAATTTAATTTAATGCGCACAAATCAAGTAGGCGTACGGAGCCTTAAGTGATTTCATGAGAAGCGCAAAGAGAGGCGCTCGAAATTGTTTACAGCCAAGAGCTGCTCGAAAATACATTTGATTACATATTAAAATAATGTCACGTATTATTGTTAAGCACTTAAGCAAATACTTGTATGGCAAATATCTATAACAAGCTAACGATTCATAACATTAGGTGTGGCTTTCACTTAAGCCATAATAATTAAATTAAGTACAACTTTATTCAATTTGAGTATTCAATAAAATAGGCAGAGACTTTTATTCTGTACATTTATTAGCTGTAGCTGCCTTTTTTTTGTAAATAAAACTTTAATACAACATTTAAGCCCCAATGGATTGTTTTCGATGGTTTCAATTAACGCGATATGATAGCGTGACGAAAATAGTTGGCACAACAACCAAAGTAAACCCTTGAACGCAAACTACTTAAATGTTATTTATTACGAGTATTGATATACTTGCAACTGAGACGCGATTAGTTGCGAAATTTGCTGCCGGCTGGCACCGAGCCGGTGGCAACTCCACCCTGGTTAAGCAGCGCGGTGAGCGTGGCGTGCGATGAGCTGAGCGCCGAGCTGCTGGCCAGGAGCTTGGCTTTGAGAGGATTTGTGGTGCTGCTGCCCACGACGGTGCCCTGTAAACAGGGCGTGACGGCTGTGGCTGGCAGCTCCTTCGAGGCGGCAGCGGCATCTTCCACTGCGGGCGTTGGCGTCTGCTGTGGCTGGGCGGGCACGCCCTGGAGCAGGGCATTGCGCAAATGGCTGTTGTTGTTGCTGATCAACTGCTGCTGCTGCTGCTGCTGCTGCTGCGCCTGTTGCTGCTGCAGCTGCAGCTGCTGTTGCTGGTGGAGCTGCTGCAGCTGTTGCTGTTGATTGGTGGTCATTATAAACGAGTTGGTGATCAAGCCGCGACTTTTGATGTTCAAGTCCACAAAGAAGAGCTTCATTTTCTGTATCATGGTCTCGGTCACATTGAAGGTGAGCATCATGCTGAGATCAATGTTGGTCTTGTGCCGGTACAGATCGTGGGTTTGCTGCAGCCGACAGACCTCGTCGTAGATGAGAAACAAGAAGCGCGAACTGCGACTCTCGGCGGGAATAATGCCGCGTGCCGCTAGCCACTCACGATCCTCAGCGTCGGGCAGATAGCGTATTATCTCCGGATGTTTGCTGGCCAAACGTGCGCCGCCCAGCTCCTTGCCATCAATGCTAAAGCCAAAGGCCAAATTCGCCTGCACGTCCAGCACAAATTTTGTGCTGGTCGAGATTTGTGCGGTGTTCCAGAAGATCTGACGACGCACGGGCGTGGGCAAAGGCCCGCTAATAAGCGGTGTGCGTTGCAATTGCAACAAATGCGGCTGCTGCTGCTGATGTGGTTGTTGTTGCTGGAGATGTTGTTGTTGCAGCTGTTGCTGCTGCTGATGCTGCTGCAGACGCAATTGTTGTTGCTGCTGCTGTAGATTTGCAGCACAGGGCATGGGTTTGCCCGCGGCCACGGCATAGCACATGCTGTTGGTAAACATTTTGCTGGTGTTGTAGTCGAGCGGCTTGGCGGGCCGCTTCAAGGCCAAACGCTGCTGCTCCGTAACAACTGTTGTTGTTGCCGCACCGATGGGACGTTGTTGTCGCAGCACAAAATTTGTATACTGCGCCTTAGCATTCTCCAGCAGCGCACAAGAGGACATCTTCTGAAGCGTTTCCTCGTTCACCGCATGCTGTCCCAGATTCTCTTTGATGTTGCCAAAGGCGGGCTTGAAGTAGTTCTACACGAGTTGCAAAAAGAAAGCTTATTGATGTGTTATGATTGGGATGGACTGCAACCACTTACGTTCATATAACGCTTGATAATTTCATTGACCTCCGCATCGAAAGCCTGCTGCACGCTGATGCGCAACAGCTCCAGAGCTCGCATCGCCGACTCGGCACTGCCGCCGCTCTCCATGTTGTGTACGCCATTGTAACGTTGACGGATGCGCTGCAGCATTGTCTCCGCCATTTCCGACGTTGTAACATATTTCTGTTGAGTAAGGAATAAGTTTCACGAAAATGGCTTTAAACGGAGACACAGAAAAAGGCAGACGGAGACGTCTCCTTTTATGCACTTCACAGGGTATACAAATAAAGGGAAGGAGTTAGTTACTTCCCGTTTGCAAGGTGTATATTTTCTGCCAACTCAACACAAACGTAACTTAATAGATACACCTCAAGTCCAAGCTCGGCTACGCACCCGTGCATTTTCCGTTCCGTTCTCCGTCGTCGGCTCTGTTTCCCTTTCCGTTTGTTTCATGGGACTGGCTGCGCGTGTGTCCATGGAGTGCGTCGTCTGATTGGAACAGTCTGAGTCATCCGATGAAGAATTCGCCTGCAGTGCTCCAGGCGAGCGCTGCTGTGCATCGCTGCCGCTGCTGTTGTGCGCTGTGCTCGCCGCGTCGCTTAGAATCTTCCAACTGCGCTGTATGACCATAATGAATCAATGTGTTTTGTTTTTTTTTTTTTCGTGTTGTTAATTTTGTAAAGCTTTTCATAAATTTGAGCTGCCTTCGAGCTGCTGGGTTTTTTATCTGGGCTGCGTTCTGGCCAGGCAGCCAGGGTCTGCAGTGCGCACGCGTCGTAAAGCCACCACCAGAGCTCATACCCCCACCCAAAAAAGCGAAAGCGATGGGCAGACGAGGCTCAACAGCTGCCGCCGACAGCTGATGATGCCGGGCTGCAATCCATATCCAGTTCGCCTAGCTCTAGACGTCGCTCACGATCCAACAAACTGCGCAGCTCAGCAAATTCCTCCAACTCATCGTCCGGCTCCTGGTCCATGGCAGCCGAACTGGCAGCAGCAGCTGGCTCTTTGGCTGCCTCCTCGGTGGCTGCTTTACCCGCTTTCTTGTGCTGTTGTCGCTGCTCCAGCAATTTCTTGTCAAAATCATCCATGAAGTCCAGCGCTGCGCTAGGCAGATAATCCTCCGGCGCCTCGTAGCCGCTGTGCACGGGCAGGTTGAGCACATCGGGCAGCATATAAGCAAAAAGCCAGCAGACGAGAGGCGTGGTGCCGCACGTATAGCTTGCCTCCTTGTGATAGAAGAGCAGACCGTCCAGCTCCGGCTTGTTGTCCTCCCATTGCGGATAACGTTGCAGCGCCTGCTCCACAGCGTTCGCATCCTCAAAGTCGTAGTATTCCAGCAGCTTGAACGGCTTTTCGTTGCGTTTGCTGCACTGGCTCAGCTCGCCGCGCTCATCGAAGCGTGAGCGCAGCCAAAAGAATCGAAAATTGGCATCGCAGTCGAGCAGCTGCTGCTGACCAAACGACAGCGCATCCAGCACATAGAAAGTTTCCAGTTGCGGCACATACACGCAATCGAGCACGGTTTTAAACTTCTGCACGTAACCATCGCCCGGCAGCAGAGTGCGCAGCTGCATGGTTATGCGGCCTGCCTTGTTGTACACCTTGGTGCGTCCATTGCTGGCGATGACCAGGCACCGCTTGCCCACCGGGCAGGGCAGCAAGAGCCAATCGCATAAGTTCTCGGGACGATGACGCAGCCATTCTGACTGTTGCAGTCGCAAATGTGGCGTCTTGCGGCTGCTGTTGTTGCTGCTGCTGGCGCGATTGCGCTGCCTGCTCTGTTTCCGCTGCGTATTACTTTGCCCTTCTGGTTGCTCCGGCGCTTCCTCATCCTCGCCATCATCAGAGTCTGGCATGGGCCGATGCACATCTTGCTGCTGCTGGCGTCGCTGTTTTTGTTCATATAGCAGCTGCTGTTGGCGCAGCTTTTGCTGCTCGCCCAAATCTACGCTCTTTTTGTACAGTTCCTTATAATTATTGCTCATGTCTGTAAAATGTTGCAAAACTCACACAATAAACAAAACACCGGCGCTGCGAATATTATGTCGACGATCTGGCGGCAAACGGTCACACTGGCGATAGTACAACACATATCGATATATTTGCGTTGCAATCGATATTCATCAACAGCTGTTTTACATACGCTTACTCTTCTATTGCCGGCTATAAATTGTAACTTTTATTATTTATTTAATAAGTTCTTTAAATGCGCCCAAAACATGAATAAAGCCTCGCGTCTCTTTTGGCCCGTTTTAATTACACCAAAAAATGCCGTTGTCAAGCAAACGGAGCAACTGTCACGCAGTCAAAAGGTAAAAGTGAACTCTGTTACGAAAGCAGCAAAACGATAATGAATTTCCTATGAACTGCAGCTTTTAATGGAACTTGGCCTAATCAAGTCGGGCAGCAATGGCACCTACCAGATTATGCCCATCGCCCAGCGCGTCGTAGAC